GGTTTGGTTTGAGACAAAGTGCTGGTAAACGTCATCTCTTGCCTTGTTGCTTCAGACTTCTGGGAAAAAAATAAACGCTTTACTTTACATGACCAAAAAAAATGTTTAATAACCACAAACATTTATAAAGTTTACTTAACTTGCAATTTGATACTTTTACCAGTGTTTATCAAAAAGAAAAAAAATACACTGACTATTGTAGCAATAGGCAAAAAAAACCTTTAACAACAACATAGTACTCTGTAACTTGTATGCTAAAACGAAGTACTTTTCTTTCAATCATAAAAAGATAATACAAAATAATGATTTTAATATCATTAATAAAAAATCTGGAACAATATCAAAGATAATGTAATGTATATCACTGTAGTAATTAAATATTAATTTATTTTATTAATACTACTTAGGAAGGTGTAACAAAATTAAATTATTACTATTTACACAGTTATTTTTACTTCAAGTAACTTCAACAACACTCAGTGGATTGTTTTTAACAGTAATTTTTATTGTATTACTGAAAGAATATTTATAAGATACATTAATAATTTTACTTTAGTCAAAATTGTAGGCTACTCTACCCACTTCCATCACAAAAACGAAGAAAGAAAAGTCTAGTCACCAGATACAGTCACAATATTTTATTTTGTTAAAKCAGTTCTTTGTATAAAAGCTCGTTTTTGTAGCTGTTGTTTTGAATGATTTCACCCTCTCTGAGCCTGATGTAGAAAGTATAGATCATAAATACTCGGTAAAAACCAAAAACTTATAACTCCAGGCCAAACATAGCTGATGATATCCGTCGTCACAGACGGACATATGGACAGAGAGCATTTCWATGTCGCCCGCCTCGGCGACAGGGTACATATATTGTTTCTTGGAATATTGTAAGTTTTACCCTAAATAGACTCCAACTTAGATGTGAAAAAGAATGATGGATCACTAACACTGCGACGTAGCTAAGAATTTAGCTAATGCTACATCCAACAACGTGGAGTTAGCTAACCCCAACACAAACTACGTCAATTATAGCTGCATTACGAGCATGTGTTCCCCAAGACAAATACTGTATACACAGTATTCTAAATGTGAAAAAGAATGATTTAAAAGGCTAATGGATCAACTTCTGTATACTCACCGCGGCTCAGCAGATGCTACCGCAGAAGCTAACTTAACACAAGGCWGCGACGTAGCTAAGAAWWGAGCTAACGCTACATCCAACAACGTGGAGTTAGCTAACGCCAACACAAAAAACTCCAATAATAGCTGCATTACGAGCATGTGTTCCCCAAGACAAACACTGTATAAACAGCATTATTCTAAAAAACACAGTACAAAGATCATACCGGAGATCGCTAAGCTAGCACATCAAGCTAACAAAAGCATAAGACATAACGCTATCAAAACAAGCTTTTATTATTATAGCTTACCAATTTGGTTTGACCATCGCTTCCATAAAGAGAAGGAACAGAACCCTCAATCAGGCGAAGTCTCTCGGAAAAACCTTCCTGAAATTGACKGAGGTTGCTGAAGCATTCATCCGAAAAGTGTTTGCTGCAAACAAGAAGCACTTTCCCCACATTTGCGGGTACATTTCCTCGAAAAATGAAATGTAACCAGGCACTTCGAAGAGGCTCAGATGCTGGCAGTCTGTGAAAAGAACTATGTTGGTCCACACACCCGAGAACTGAACATTTCTGAACTTGCACCTTAGGCATGATGATATGAAACTACAAAATCACTGCGAGGAAAAAAAATGGCGGACTATGAACTCTAGTTGGCAGGAAATACATGACCATAAATGGCATTTCCCAAGAAAAGAGTGTGACGAAATAAGCAATGAAACGTAATAAGCAAGACAAGATTTTGAACAAACTGGACAATTTGACCCCAAAAATAATATAAAAATATCTTTGCAGTAACAGAACAGAATAAATTAAAGTTTTCTACACTCCTAGACACTATAATTGCACAAAAAATAGTTTAGAAAAGCAAAAAAAGTGCATTTAGCATGATATGTCTCCTTTAAAGGAGGCTTCCTGGCAGAAAATTTGCACTTATGAATGTGAAACTTAACTAAGAGTAATAAAATATTAATTACATAAAGTTTTTTTTCTTAGAGGGGAAGACATAGTAAAACCAAAAAGTACATCTTTTTCACCTGAATATCAGATGGAAAAAAATACTGAGGATTTGAGACTGAATAYAGTAAACAAAGTTTTTCCAGAAGGAAACTGAAGGGACACCTCCAGAACAAGTGCACTGTAGTTTCATTGTCCAAATTACAAAAGGAGCAACTGCAGTTAATATCCTTGTGCAAGTTCTGTTTTGCAGGGTAACAACGATGAAGTTTGAAGCACATCACGAGGTGTGTTTGTAATGAGTATTTTGAAGACAAATTCCATACTGTTGTCCATTTGATGTCATGACAAAAACTGTCTCCAGCAGTGTGTTACATAAGGCATTGTAACGGAGTTTACGCCGTTTTTTAAGTTTAACGTGTTGTAAATTGCTCGTTTAGTGGCACTTACGGCTTGCCATACAGTGTCGCAGCAGAGCGCGCTTCAGACTAACTGGCGCTGCAGATGAACTCACTGTGTGTAACTTGAGATTTTCCTTACAGTTTTTTTTAATTATTAGACTTTTTATTGCATAAATCAAATCCAAGTTCTATTTCTGTTTTTATTTAACACCATTTTAACACTGTGGCAGCGGCGCATTGTGATTAACAGCTGACTGCATCTCTGCCTTCATGTTTTTCCCTCTTCTCTCGTCCTTCTGCAAAGAATGACAAAAAATAAGAAGGCATAATGTTGCAAACTGCAGCCACTAATATTTCAGATTTGAAATATTTGAACTATAAATTATCTCTGTCTTTAGATGACAGCAATCTGCATCTGAACCACTGGATTACAGTCGGGTTCTCAACCTACAAACCCCTGGAACATTTATTTTAAAAAAATATCTGTTATCAACAAATTAGTGAGCCTTCCTTCTCAATGAGACATTGTCAAAAAATAAAAGTAGTTCGTAGTAAGAGTTGTGGTTTTCTTGGTGCTGCATTCCTCTGTGGCCTCTGATCTCATCAGATTTGTTTTGAAGATAATGCATCTAAACTGCTCTTATCTTTCATTCTGAGATGACAGAGCAGCTCTTCAGAAACAACAGTTTGTAAAACTGAAAAATGATTAAATTATGTCGTTGGCCTTCAGCCTGGTCTTTATCTTTATTCTGATGTCACGACTGGTTTAACTCTTGATGTGACAGATCATCACTTCAAGTTGACTGAATGATCCCTTTAATATTCTTCATACAAAACCAGCAAAGRCTGATACATATTCTCAGATTTTCTGACTTTTTGCACACCATGACACGACACAAAGCGAAGAGTCACTGATGGACTCGTTCCTTTCATTTCCATCTCAGACCTGAGACCACCTCCAGCTCTCAGATCAACTGTTAATTTCTGTCCGTCCATGAAACTGAACAATAGATTTTTTAAATGTAAAACTAACCTCAGATACAGATTTTTAAGGTGTTTACTCTTGATGGATTAGATCTTATCTTGCTGCTGTATGTTCAAATATTTACTTTTCTAATAGCTGTCAGTGGTGGGCACAGTTCCCCTAAAGCACTAAAGCACTAATAGGAGAACTAATTTCCTGATTAGTGCTTTAGGGCTTTTGCTATTTTTTAAATTCATTAGTGGATTAGCACTTGCTAAATTTAGAAGCACTAACTGAGGTCTATGTTATTGATCAACATTATTGTTCACAGTTGAGGGTGTTATACATTTTGTTCATACGTGTGTCACTTATCTACAAGGTCACCTGTCAAACTCATGGCCCACGGGCCAAATGTGGCCTGCAGGTGACTCCCATTTGGCCCACCAACGGCACTAAGTGACAATACTTTGCACACAGTAAATATTGTCTCATGTTGACTGAAGAATGTTCCATGTGTCATCTGGATTATTTTAGTGCTTAAAGGATTAGTTTTTTGCTAAATTTTTCAGTGCGTTAGTGCTTTAGAATTATGGGACCTACATAGTTAAGTCAGTGCTTTAGGTTTAGTGCAACTAATATTTAGATTAGTGCTGCCCACCACTGATAGCTGTGATCTGTTTTTTTTTTTTTGCACATGGAGCTAAAAAGCCCAACATTAAAAACCATTGCTC